AATTTTTTTTTTTTTACTATTTATTGGTTGTTATTTTTATTACAATAATAATAATAAATATAGTAAAATAGTAAAAAAAATAATTATTCCTATTAATTATTTTGGACTAATTGATGATAATATTTATTCAATAATAATAATAATAATTATTATTATTATTATTATTATTACTTTAAATCAGTCTAACAATTATGGAATAATAATTATTATGAATATAATTAGTAATTTGTAATTATTATTTAGTATTTATTAGTTATTAATCTCTAAATAACAACAACAATAATAGTAAAATATAAATTAATTTATGCATTTAGCAGACGCTTTTATCCAAAGCGACTTACAGTGCATTCAGGCTATACTTTTTTTATCAGTATGTGTGTTCCCTGGGAATTGAACCCATGACCTTTTGCGCTGCTAGCGCAATGCTCTACCACTGAGCCATAAATGATGTATTGAATAAAATATTATCAATTAGTCCAAAATAATTAATAGGAATAATTATTTTTACTATTTTACTATATTGTTGTTGTTGTTGTTGTTAATATTAGTGAAAAATAATTATTCTGTTTTATATTACTAATAATTAGTATTCCATACATTTTGAAGTAATTTAGTAGTAGTAGTAGTAATAGTATTTTAGCATAATAAAATCGGCCAAAATAATAAATAAATAAACATCTAAGCGGCAGGGAAGGCATTAACCATTGTGATAGTCTGATGTTCAAAGTTCTGCAGTGATCAGTGGAGGTTTTGCTGAGTTCGCAGGCAGGCCTGGTCATACTGTATTGCCTCTCTCTGTATCAGTTTATGTTTATAAATGTTAATTTTATTTGATTACTTGTGTATTAAATACAGCTTATCAGTATTTCTTCAGGTTAGGTATTCCTATTTATCAATGTCCACTAGGTGATGCTGTCTGCCTGATCATACAGCCAGTGTTACCTGATAGTCCAGCCAATGCTTCTTTGCTGTTGCTGATTGATTTATTGCTTTATTTTGCATGGCAGTGTATGAGAACCCAATGTTCTTTAGTTGCTGGTGTGCCGATCACTTCCAGATGTGACGAGGACGTCTCTCCTCCACACACACACTCACACATTTCTGTGGCTGTAGGCATTCATTTCCTGTCTCGTGGGAAGGGCACGAGAATTGACAGGATGAGCCGAGAGATGCTCGGATTTCTCTGTCTCTCTGCCAATGCATGCATGCTGAGCTCATGAGGACTAGCAAACGTTCATCAAGAATCTCATGATGTTTACCATATGTGCATCTGTTCCTCAGAAGACAAGCCTTCTTGAGTAAATTTGCACAAATTATCTGCTTTTTCATTTTGTTCTTTTAGGGGTTTTTTCTTTGCATGTATTGTTCAGCATGTTTTACCTTCAGATGTTAAGGTTTATTATGTTTGTATATAAAAGTATTATGGTGGCACCATGCTCTAGGTTTTTGGTGATTATGATACTTTAAAAGTGATCCGTGCTACTAAATGAGCACCATATTCATATATCATGGAATGTATATATTCCAAGTTTACATGTCCAAAAACATAGTAATATCATGCTACTTTTTAGGGATGCACCAGTATGAACATTTTAGCCAATACAGTAATTACATAAATGCATTTAGTTTCTGCATTCTTTATTATATTTCCATTTAAATAAACTAAGTTAATTATATTATAAATATTATATATATATTTAATGTATGTGTGTGTGTGTGTGTGTGTGTGTGTGTGTATATATATATATATATATATGTGTGTGTGTGTGTGTGTATATATATATATATATATATATGTGTGTGGGTGTGTGTGTATATATATATATATATATATATATATGTGTGTGGGTGTGGGTGGGTGTGTGTATATATATATATATATATATATATGTGTGTGGGTGTGTGTGTATATATATATATATATATATATATATGTGTGTGGGTGTGGGTGTGTGTGTGTATATATATATATATATGTGGGTGTGGGTTTGGGTGTTTATATTATTATTTACTATTTAAATGGAAAATATAATGAAGAATGTAGAAACTATATAGTTACTAGTATGTAATATAGTAATTATTCATATAGTGTAGTTATAATTCTTAATATAATTGATTGGCTAAACTGTTTTTAAATACAGTATATTTAGAAAACAACATATGTTAAATTTTTTTAGTAGTGGTAGTTTCTTTCTTTAAAAGATAAATATAAGAAAATATTTCGTATAACTGATTAATTAAACATTTTATTAAAATCGATTATTTTATTATTTTAATTGAAACTATTTCAAATACATTGGCACTTTTTACTTAACAGACTGATATTAATAACATTAAAAAGTCACATTTATTGTTAAATACCAATATGGCCGCCA